GTTTAGTGAATAAAGAAGTTTCATTCTTTATAAGTGTATTATTTGCGCGACGTCTTCTGCGCCCGACTCCTAGTGCCCTTACTCTTTCCAATTCTTTGATTTGTAAGGAGTCTTGATTAGTTTGATTTATTAACGGATTTAAAATATATTACTCATCGTTGAACCTTGCATAATTCCACAGAAGTAATAACTAAGATGTGTTATTTTTGTATGAAATATATACAATGAGTAGGGGAGAGTGGTGTCGGTTGAAACAAAAAAAATATTTTTTTGCAGCTAACCAATTTATTATAAATAAGAAAAAATTGAAATTTTTTATGAAAACAAATATATCCTTTGGCATTAATTTCAACTTAATAGATATTTAAAAAAGTAACAAATTATAAATGATATTTATCATTAATGGCATCGCCGCAACTTGTTACAATTGACACCGCGTTGGTGTCAATTGTATCACCGCCGCTTGTTTCGATTTTATATCCATTAAACTTACATGTAATCAATAAATTGAATTGATATATACCTTACTGCCAAGCTTGATATTCATAAAGTGTGATATTCATATCACACAGTATCGTCGTATTACAAATTGTTGTGGAACGAGTTGCACTAAATAATGGCGGGTAACAAAGTTTACAATCTAACCTTGATTTAACAAAAATAGGTGCTGCACTTACGAATGGCCACTCAATTTTTCGTCAATGACTTATGTCTGTTAACGGTATGCAACCGTGCATGCAGTTCAGCCTTTCGTCAATAGATACAGCTATTGCGGTCAATGTTACAATTGACCCTCTGTTTCAACCGACACCACTCTCCCCTACATACATAGAGAAAAGTGGGCAATTTGTGCGCACTTAAGAGATATTTTCTTGGGATGGTTTTCTAAGTTCAAAGCGATATAAGTATGAAAATAGAAATTATAAACATTCTTCTACCATTACGTATCCTTACTTGAACAAATTTTCATTTAATAAGGTTGTATTTGCGGCAAAAAGGAAAAAAACAGAAAAGCGAAAAAATTTTTCGCGCGTCGGGTAATTGTGCGCAAAACAAAAGTCGTAAGAAATGAATGAATTGTGGATTGTTGACATAGAAATCAGAATATACATTCATTATATTGCAATATAAATATATATTAAACATATTTTAAATGTATATTGTATATATTAAGAAAAAATACAAAACTAATATAATAATAATGCACATAGACGTTGGCAAAATGAAATGGCAAAATAAAATAGTAATGCCAAAAAGAAACGAAAAAACTAGTGCTAGTCATACAGTATATGGCAGATGGGTAATTGTGCGCGTTTTAAAACGCTTGCGCACAGTTGCTTGCCGTGATCTGACTCGATACGAAATACGATTACTTCAACAATTCCTAACCAAACTTAATAAATAACAGCTCAAAAGATGCACATAATAACGTACTTTAATAACGTATACAATTTTAAACAAACAAATTAAAAATACGGACTTACTACCTTATTTTCTGAATGCTAACAAGAAAATATATAATTTCACTTTTTTGTATTTCTCTGGCTAGCGATGTATTTACTTTGTATTTCTTGTAGTTATATCTTAAGAGGACAACTTCCTGCGTAAAAATTTCACCACGGTGATGTCTTCATCTATTGGAAAAGTACCAAACCAGAATGCGCACAATTACCCGCTGCGCACAGTTCCCTCACTTTCCCCTACGAAGCAAAATTGGCTGTTTTTCTTTTTATTCTGTGATAGATTTTTTTATAGGTTTGTAAGATAAGATCTTTTTTTTCCTGTTTTTTTTTTAATCGAGTGACTCTGGCTGCGTTCCACTTAACGCTCACAACGCTCGTGGAATCATTTCATCCTTGTCGTTTATCATGTTAAACAAGGACAAACGATGCTCGCGAGCGTTGCGAGCGTTAAGTATAACGCAGCCTCTATAAATTGTAGTTCAGTCTTTGTCGAGCGTATAGATATATAATATACATTCTGGAATTATTTTATTAAACGAATCATTTGCATTACATGTAATACGTATTGCTTCCTCACCACTCACATTCTGTCATACTAGTGTCTCTGAAAAACTCATTTTCAAAAAGTAAAACGCGCACAAAACAGTAGCATCTTAGAGTGCGTCTGCAATGTAGTGTATGTTCCGAAATTATTAAACAAATTCTTTACATTACATACGCATTTATGTGTATTGCTTTCTTTCACCTACAGCCTGACATATTGCAATTCCTTGTAAAAATTTTGCAAAATTAAAATACGCATTAGCGCACGCATTAACATTTCAGAGTGTGCCAATTGTAAGTGACAACATTAACAATATGACAATACGTCAAGGAAGTAACCACTAGCTGAAATATTGTTCCACAGATTAATTACATGATTTTATATAATTTCATCTGATTACAAATAATTTTTTGTCACTACATATGAAGTCATTTGGTAAAATATACGATTTTATTTAATATTATACAATAATTTCTTATGGTTGCATAATATATGTAATTATCGGATTATACATAGAGATTTCATATAAATTTTATAATGATTTCGAGGACTCGGTCTCACGATTACATTAAGATAAGTGGTTAACTCCTCGCAATATGCATTATAAAGCCACGTACAAAGCTATCGTAATAATCTTTCTGTTACCAAAACGTGGACTTAAAGAGAGTTTAAAAAGGATAGATTTAAGAATAAGTTGCTCTTATCGATCTTGCAAATCGCAAATCCTTGAAAGAAAAATGAAAAGCGACTGAACTTCATGCCTTCGTGACATCGTCTTGAAGTTAGCCGCGCGCCATTCGTCAGCGAGGCCATTCATGACGATTTTTCCGTGCGATAACGTACATCAGGTGTCAGTCGACCGCTGCTTGTCGTCGCGTGCAGATCAACGAAAAAAGAAGGAGAGAGAGAAAAGAGAACGGCTCTCCGAATCTTTCATGAAACCGATAGTGAATGTCGCGAAGGTGACGGCAACGACAAGTTGAGCTGAACATGTCGATGTGATATACATTCGCATTATCATTGCAGATTACAGGTAATAATTATTATCGCTGCGCAATTTGCATAATCCTGTAATCGCATGATGACATACCGCCAACTTCAGTTTGCTTACTGCTAGCTTGATCTCGGCGAAAGAGTCAAAATAATTGAATTATGACGGATGACGCAAAATGCATATTGAAAAAAGTCTGGTAATAATGATCAAACCTAAAGAAAATAATTACTAAAGCAATAAAATAATTGCAACCCCCGGTAATAAATTTTTCGTCCATGAATATGTATAAATATGTATAAACATACATAAATATTTATAAACATACATAATTTTATATAAAATATGCCTATACATGTTCATACATCCTTCTTTCTTTTATAAAATTACTTTTTAGTGTAATAGAACTAACAATAGCAACGTGGAAACATTAAAAATAATTAAAAGGATAATTTGCACACTATTTGTTTTAGAAAAAAATCAAGTTTGAAAAAATGTAAAAAAATTACTTATGTTACAATTATAGTATATAAAATTATGCATAATTGTACATCAGCAATTTTTTGAACATTTTTCCAAACTTGTTTTTCTCTAAGACGAACAATGCGAAAATTATCCCTTTAATTATTTTTTATGTTTTCACATTACTATTGTTATTTCTATTACACTAAAAACTTTACAAAAAAAAGAGGAATGTATGAATATGTATGGGCATATGATTATACGTGTTTGTGAATATTCATGCATGTTTATACATATTTATACATATTAATGCATAAAAATTTTTTTACCGGGCAAATGTTTGACTCTCGTTTTAATTTTTTAAATATCTTGCAGAATACAAACTAACAGTAACATTACATTAATATTATAGTTTCCTATTTAACAATATAAATACAATATAACATGTTGTACGTAACAGTTGTACATAATATAACATATAATATAATAAGTTATATATAATAGTTACATTGTGTTCAGTAGAAAATTATAACATTGATGTAATGTTAGTGTCAGTTTGTGTTCTGTGGATATTGTCTTACTTTTTCTAATTATTACTATATGGCTAATTATTATTATGTTTGATAATATTTACTAAATATTGCACCAATAATGCTAAATAAGATATGTCTGGTAGTTACTTATTACCAGACTTTTTTCAGTGAATTTGTATCCAACTTTGAGTACTCGAATAATTAGAGTTATTCACGATAAAAAGTGTGCACATATGATATTCTGTGTAATCCTCCGTGTCATAATGAAAATATACACTCATATAGCATAACGATTTTAAACTTTACAATTCCGCAAGTATGGATAATGATATTTTTACGACTTGCTTGCCCACAATGTTTTAGCTCGAGGTTTTTGTATCGTGTTCTTCGTTCTCACGATGTATCGACGAGGTGTGACAGAGGCGACAACGTTGACGGAATTTGAGGAAAGTGTATCCTTCGATGCGGATGATCCAGACTTTGCGCCTAAGCCGAATACAATGCTAAATGTCCTCCACGACGCACATTGCTTAGCTCTCGCGGACACCAAAATCGATATTAGTAAAGGTAGGCACACACTCTGATTTCTAAGGCTCTGCGCATAATAGAAGCAATAAGAAATTAGAAATAAAGAATAAACGATTGTAACTAGAGAGCTCAGACAAAAGATTCGAACATGTAGAATATTCGATCTATTCGAATAGTTTGAAATTGAAAAAAATGAGCATCTAATTCGAATAGGGTAACTCCGGTATATACGCCGCACCTATCGAAAACTTAATTTATCAAGTATTATTTACTATGTTTAAAATAAACGAACTATATCAGTAAAAACTTTGTATTGTCTAATACTATTATGAAAAAATATTAGAAATCCGAAATATTTAGTTTTCGTAAATTAATTAAAAAATAAACTTTTTGAAATATCTTGCATTTTTGCTATATATAGATAATGGGTGGGATATATGGCAAAAATGCAAGGGTTTCAACAAGCTAAACAATGAATACGAAAGCAAAGCACTTGTATTTTGCTCTATATACAACATGCTTTACTATTCCTCTACACGTATGTATCACGAAATAACCACTAGGTCTTTTACACGCCTTACAGTAATCATTTTATGTATAGATTATAATTTATGATGATGCTACTTGTCACACACATAGTGACAAATCGATTCAACTCACAATAATTTCATTAATTTAACAGTAAGAAGCTGAAATTATAATGTCAATACTAATATATAACATAAAAGCATGTAACAGAGTAGTTGCGAGAAAATTACTCCCACTCCTTCTATTTTTTCTGACTTCCGCGGCGTAAATCCCAGCGCAGCGTATATACCGGAGTTACCCTATTTCGGACAGTTCGAACAGTTTGAGCTTAAGCAGTGATCGATCAGTATGAAATGTCAATTCGTTATGTCTGAAGTTCGGACGGTTCGAACAGTAAACAAATATAGTATGTCTTGGAAACAAAAGAGCAGTTTTTCACGAATATTTTCACATTTTGTATTATAAAATTAAAAATCGATTTTATTTATTTTTGCAATTTCTTATAGCTTAATATTTTAAAGTGCACTTAAAAGCCGTTGTGCACAAGCCGACGTAAAGATTTACTCGTACAATTAGCATATTAATTTATTAGAAATAATTTTTTTCGTTTTTACTACACTGGAAAGTTATTACACATGTGTAATAACGTCACAATATATATAACTGAATGTAATTGAATGTGCATATTAAATTTAAATAAAATTCCTATATTTATTGATATCCTGCAAATGTACAAATATCCTGAGCCATCTTGGACATATTCAGGTTGATCCTAAGGACGACTTGTGATGTCTGAGTTCGAAATATAATAAATTCGAACTTTCAGCTCTGAAGTGAGTTAAAATAGTTCGAACATACATTCAGTCTGAACTATTTAACGTTCAAACTTGAGATTCGAACTGTCCGAACTGTCAAATCGTCTGATGTTTCCGAGCACTAATTTTAACCTATCAGAAATCGGATACATTGAAATACACGGTTTCTGATAGGTTGAAATTGTTTATTCTTTATTCCTAATTCCTTACTCCTTCTATTGTGTACAGAGCCTAAGGCTTCTAATCGCTTTGAGTCGCCAGCGGCATTCTTTATTTTTAGCCTAATTTTAGACCCTTATTTTAAACCCGCCCCGAATCCGCTTTAATTTGTAGCGAAATAATGATTATAATGAAGCGGCTGAATATTAGAAGTTGAACGATATTATTATTATTATCGATTATTTTTTAAATATTAAACTTCAAATGGCGGCGTCGTTCTAAAAAGAATAGAACAGCTTGTGCTTTCCGTAAATAACCTGCGGCAGAAAAGCTCAATAACCTTTCCTCTTCTTTCCTGTTTCGTTGAAATGAGACAACCTCCTACAGCACAAAGTTGCACAAAAGTTGCAGTAATACTGCTGCAACATCGCATGTTACAGCAATATCGCAGAAATTTTGCAGCGATATTGCTGCAAATTCTGTGCTGTATGGGATAAGACATAACAGTTTAGAAAAATATTTGTAACTAGACATTAATATTTCTATTGTTTAAATAATAAAACAATATGGAAAGTAAGAATCACATGCTGGAGTTACAATGGTGCGCGTAAACTAAAATTCACAGTATAGTGTTATCATTAATTTAAATTACAGATTACAAAGAGGAATCCAAACGTTTCGTATATTTTACCTTTTTGACGTCCCTGGTTCTCATTGGAATTCATGCGAGCGTATACATTATCGAACAATGTAACTACTAGTATGATTTTCGTTGAGAACGGCGAAAATGAAATTTTCCCAAAACGGATTCTTATTTGTAATGTATGTATACATATATACCCAAAGCGCAGAACAACAAGTCACGATAACATCAAAATGACAGTAAAATAAATCGGAAATGATTGAAAAAATAACTTTTAATGATCATTTTGGAGTCATTTTGACATCACTTTGATATCATAATGACTTGTTGCATTGCTTGGATAATTTAAGTTAATATAATATTATATTATAAATCTTATAGTTTATGCACACTAACTACAGTGCTTAATTCTCATTTGTCCCATTATTCTATTATTTTAACTTATCAAGATTCTCCAATTATCTATTTATTATTTAATTATCAATTGGATTGATTGATAACAGAGAGGTTATATTATAATTTTTAAAATAACGCACGTACAATCATGCAGTGTTAAGTGTTATATTTTTAGACATGTCTCAAGGTTAAGCAAAAAGTATCAGCTTCGAGATTATGGGAATCCATCACGAATATCATCATTTTATATTGTATAACATGGTCATGTTCAGAAAAATAAAGAACTTAATTTAAAAAATTAAAAAAACACAGACAAAGAAAAACTTGTTGGGCAATGATATGCAAAAGGATATCAACGATCGTTGATTGATATGTATTTTTTTTGTCCAATTCTATATATCTGAACAAAAGAATAATTGATTCAAATAAATTACTTTTTTTTGTTTAACGATCGTACATTTTTTATTCGCAACATTACTAGAAGTCTAACAGATCACGATACTTTCAATTCATCCGTTAATGCAGTCATGCGATAATGACATTTTGTGGAAAGCACATAAATTAAAAAGAATTGGTTCCACTTTCTAAATTTATACTCCATAAGCTTACAAACATCGATATAAAAAAAACACGATGATTTTTATTTTCTTCCCTCTTCTGTACAAATAAATAGCATGATTTCTCTCAATATCACGAAAAAGATTTGATGATTATAGTACTGAATGTATTTTGTTTAACATATTGGTACAACATTTAATAAATATTATCAAACATAATAATAGTAACCAACCATTTGGTAATAATTAAAAAAGTAAGAAGTAATGCTTAGAGGAACAAAGTTAATTGGTTTTGGTTATATTAATCGAACATTTAATAAAAATTATTTTACCAAAGCGCTTTATAATAATGTAGACTTTATTATTATTATCAGACTTTTTTTAGTCTAGATAAAATAAGTTAAAAAAAAAGTTATATATGTATATAATAAAAATATAATTTATACTAATTTTGGTCTTACTTGTGTCTAACGAAAATATGTTGCATATATGTATATGTAAATATATTTATGTTTTTATTTATATCTAATCGTATATAAAATTGTATATTTTATTTGCTACTTTTATTTTTAAAAGAATATATATACAATGTACAAAGTATAAGTATATACATATATGTATATTTTTTCGTTTAATAAAGTTATGAGAAATAAAATATACATGATTATATACGGTATAATTCTTTCTTTAATTAATTATATTTAATATTAACTGTGTCGTATTAATACCAACACACTCTTTTGATTATTAACTTCGTCAATCCTTATCACAATGATATAATGAACTTGTGAAAGAACACAAATGGTACCATTTGAACTTGGGCGGCGGCGGCGGAGAGAGAGGAGCGTCTGTCTGCCCTCCCTCTTTCTCCATGATATATAGCAAAAGATATTCTTTATCTGCACGATTAGTGCACGTGCGAGACGTATACTTAACACCACCACCACTGGCATCAGTTCCGACACACGTCGAGTTCTCGGGAAGAAAGGCGATAGCCGTCACAGATCCAATTTTGTCGGTAGATCGAGTTTCGTGCCCTTCGTTGTGCGTGTTAGTATAATATAATAATAGAGTCGCGGGGTAGACGGTGGGGTAACAACGATAAGGAGCGCCACATTTCTCGTGAGATCCTTCCAAGAAGATCCTCGTTTTCGTCTGAGCGCTGATTCATCTCCGCGAGAAGATCGCGGATTATCGCAGCAGCGGGAATATGCAAAGAGTAGGCGGATTGTTAACGTAACCAACACCGAGAATTGATTTCGCGAAATTGAATCCATGACTTTCGAGATGAGTCTGTTTAAAAATATTATGATTCTCCGCCTTTTTCGCTGCACGTTGTTAACGGGATTAAACAGTAGTAACAAAAGTAATGTATGATCAAAACATTTTGTATCTATAAAAAAACAATAAAATTATATTTTTAATACGTTATTAACTTTATATAATTTTATATAACATTAATTTTGTATAATTATAAAATTAATATAAAGTATATATTGCAGGGTGTCCCGTAAGTTTTGGCCAGTCTCTTTTGTGTAGATAGAGCGGACTAAACTGAGTCGGAAAGTCCTCTACCATTTTGCAATTTTCGCAATAGTTGTTAACAAGATATTAATTACTAAATAAAATTGCCAAATATTGGTCTTGAATAATTTTTTACTCAAATACTATCAATTTTACAGAAAAACAGCAAGAGACAAAAATCATTTATTTTCTTGTCATAAAGTTGTGAGAATTTTTTCAGAATTTTTTTAATACCGTATTTTTTCATATTGGTAAAAATAAGAAAATGCAATACTAAGTAAAAAGTTGATAAAATATTCTGAAAAAATTCTTAGAGTTCTATGAGAAAAAAATTAATGATTTTTGTCTCTTGCAGTTTTTCTATAAAGTTGATAGTATTTGAGTAAAAAATTATTGAAGATCAATATTCGGCAATGT